TTAGAGCATAGTTTCAAGGGCCCAGGACATGAATACACACCATGCGGCGCATCTTGAGTAACTCAATATTACAACGCACAAGCCGACGCTCTACGTGGATGGCCTTCGCAGCCTTCACACCGGCTGCCGGGGGAAGAGCCGTGAAACGCGTACTTCAGTCCCGGGAAGCTGCGTACGAGCTCTTGCTTGTTCCAACACTCGGCAATACCACCGGGGACAGGCGAATAAGTAGGCAGAGCATGTAACGTATTCTGGAGCACGAGATGGTCGTGGTTGAGAGCAAAGAAGGGCGAGCAAAGTTACGGCCTTCCTTGCTCCACGTGTCCTGCAGGCGCTTTGCACTAAACGCTGATGCTTCCTCGAGTAAACAACGCAGCTTTCATATGTCGGGTCAAGTCTTCGGCTGAAAATATCATTTCGCTTCAGCTGATGTACATACTACGCACAAGTAATGCAGTCCTTTGAATTATCCGTCAAGGATTCAATACATAGCTGAATAACAATACATCCTCGACGTGCACATGATCACGGTAATCCTACACTTCGCCCGCTTTGCATCTTGTCAGGGACATGCATCCTCGTCTGAACGGAAGACATGCTAACACTCGCCTGGTGAGCGCGGCCCGAATATCTGGTCCCACATCACGCTCAGCACACCGAAGAAGCTGCTTCGTGCCTGGGTCTGCGCCGTCGCGGCGTAGGCGGCCCTGTGCCACCGCTCTTGGGCAAGCACCCGGGGCGACACCGGAGGCTGAGCTTCTGCTGCGCGGGGCCGCATCGCAGCCTTGGGGATATACGGACGAGACTCGGCGCGCGGCGGCGGCGTCGGCGGCGGCGACGGCGGCTTTGAAGCGGCGGCAGCGGCAAAGGCGGCTTCCTTCGCGCGGCGTTCCGCCTCCTGCAGGGCGATCTGCATCTGCTCGAGCTGCGCCTTCTGCTGGTCCGCGTGGTCCTGCAGGGCGCGCAGCTCCGCCTCGCGCTTCGCGTCCTCCGCCTTCTGCCTGAGCTCCTTCCGCAGCTGCTCCAGCTCCGCCGACCGCCTCGCCGCCTCCGCCTTCTGCTCGAGCTCCTCGCGCATGCGCTCGAGTTCCGCCGCACGCCGCGCCGTCTCCGCCTTCTGCGCCTCCTCGTTGCGTGTGCGCTCGAGCTCGGCGACGCGCCTCGCGGCCTCCACCTTCTCCGCAGCCTCCTTGTGCAGACGCTCGAGCTCGGCCTCGCGTTTGGCGTCCTCTGCCTTCTGCGCAAGCTCCTTGCGCGTGCGCTCCTGTTCGGCCTCGCACTCGGCCTTGCGATGCGCCTCCTCGAGTTTCTGTGCGGCCTCCTGGCGCACGCGTTCGAGCTGGGCGAGGTGGGCCTCGGCCTTGGCCTTGAGGTCCGCGTGCGCCCTGTCGCGGCGGGCGGACTCCTCGCTCGCGCGGCGTTCCGCCTCCTGCAGGGCACTCTCCATCTGGACGAGCTGCGTCTTCTGCGCCTCCTCGTTGCGTGCGCGCTCGAGCTCGGCTTCGCGCCTCGCGGCCTCCACCTTCTCCGCAGCCTCCTTGTGCAGACGCTCGAGCTCAGCCTCGCGTTTGGCGTCCTCCGCCTTCTGCGCAAGCTCCTTGCGCGTGCGCTCCTGTTCGGCCTCGCGCTCGGTCTCGCGCCGCGCCTCCTCGAGTTTCTGTGCGGCCTCCTGGCGCACGCGTTCGAGCTGGGCGAGGTGGGCCTCGGCCTTGGCCTTGAGGTCCGCGTGCGCCCTGTCGCGGAGGGCGGCCTCCTCGCTCACGCGGCGCTCCGCGTCCTGGAGGGCGCTCTCCATCTGCGCGAGCTGCGTCTTCTGCGCGTGCGCGCGCTCCTGCAGGCCGCGCAGCTCGGCCTCGCGGGCGGCCATCGCCTCGGCCATCGCGCGCATCTGCTCGTCGTGCGCGCGCCGGCCCGCCTCGTGTTCGTCGCGCAGGCGGAGCGCCTCGTCCTGCACGCGCGCGAGCTGGCCCTGCACGTCGCGCAGCGCGTCGCCCACCTCCTCGATCTCCGCGCGGTGCCGCGCGTCCTTGGCCGCGAGCAGCGCCGCCATCGTGCCGCGCAGGTCCGCGAGCTCGGCGTGGTGCCGGCCGGCCTGCCGCTCGAGCTCGGCCGTGAGGTCCTGGCCCGCGCCCGTCTCCGCGAGCGGCTTGTGCTCGTCGACCGTCTCGCGCTGGATCTGCAGCGGCGCGGGCGGGAAGCCGACGATCTCGCGGACGATGCGGTGCGCGGACGCGAGCGTGTCGTCGTGCCGCACCATGTGCGCGCCCTTGTCGAGCGCGGGCTTGAAGAAGAGGTCGCTGCCGGCCATCTCGCGCTCGCGCTCGGCGCCGACTCCGGGCTCGACGTTGCTCCACATGTTCGTGACGATGACGACGTTCTTGAGCGTCTCGTCGCCGCAGAGCTTGCGGAAGAGACGGAAGTTCTTGCGGGCGACGCCGCCCATGCGGGTGTCGGTGACGCGCTGCAGGAAGATGACGCCGTTGAGGGTGCGTCCTTGCTTGTATCTACGAAGGACATGTCAGACGCAAATATCACAGGCACACGAGCGGCAGAAGCGTACGTCACGGCCAGGAAGTCAGCGATGAGCCGGAGGATCTCAGCCTCGGTCTTGATGGTGTCGTCGAACCCCGGGGTATCGATGAGGGTGACCGTCTTGCCGTCCAACATGAACGGTGCGGCAACCTCGACTTCGGAGGTGCATGACTCGAGGCCATAGCCAACCTTGAACTTGGAGCTGCTGACGAGGTTGATGAACTTTTCAGACAAGGAGTCTCAGTAAGCGTGGAGGCACGTGTTATGACGGACACGCTTACCGTTGACTTGCCCGCGCCAGTCGCGCCCATGACACTAGGTCAAGGTTAGCCCAACGCTCAGTAGGAAAGATGTGCGACGTACACAATAGTTGCCGAGTCGTTTTTGGACATTGTAGAGTCTGCACTTGAGCTTGTACCTGCCAGAGGTGTCGCTTTGCAAGTGGTAGAGGGGATGACGGACCTCGCCGATCACAAGTCAAGGTATATGTACCATGAGACGAGATAGAACCGCAGAGATACCGCGAGTTATGAAACGCATATTGGAAACATGCGGGATCCATGCTTGTCCAAGCACTCTTGCATCGCCCCCGCGAAAGGAGAGCATTCCCGTTTGCTGGCGATATGCAACCAACACGTCGTCCATGTGTATCGCGAAATCGGGGGGATGTGCAGATAGGCTGTGCGTTCATTAAAGAACGCGTGTTCGCTTGGGGACGACCCAGAATGAGGCCGCCGCGATTGTGCCGTTGAACTCGTGGTGCAAACGAGGTATTGAACATGACACGACGCAACGCGTATGTCTGCAGCCGCGAACGTCGGTACCTGAGAAGGGAGCATGTGAAAAGTTCTGTGTCGGCTCAAGACATAGGTCTCAGGCAATACGTAGTGCACGGGTGGTGTATACTGTGGTCACGCCGGTATACAGCTTTTGACCATGGGGTCACCCGCGGGGAGGCCATTCGACTAGCTCAAAGTCGGAACATGTATCATCCAATATGTATCCTGTACGTACCTGTACGGATTTCCAGCCATAGCAAACATCTCGAGGAGCGTCACGGTCTTTTACTGGAGACCC